TATATATATATATATATATATATATATATATATTCGAGAATACTTTTTGAATTAAGTTTAAACTGGCACAGGCAGGCCACATAAGAAAAATAGATACAATGCTTCTGAAACAGCACAAAAGTAATAACATTCCAAACACACCTATTGAGAACAGCAGAAAAAAAGCGTTGTACAGGTTTTATCAACTTTTTTCCTTTTCACAATCATTTTTAACTTGTACATGATTATTTGTATAAAAGTGAATAACCAATAGCAGTAATGAGGAATCGTCATGCTAACAACTGATCTTAACTATGAGGACGCTAAGAATAATGAACCAATAGGATAAAATATAAAACAAACAACCGTATAATTTTAAAGTAATAGCATCAAAGAATATTATTTGATAAAAGTAATGCTTACAGGTACTAAAAGTGAAAAAGCAACGTTTAAAACCTTATCAATTCCTCTACCTCTTTTCTCCGACCACCTCTCAAATTATATATACTACTATACTGCTACTAACTTGAACAGAACACATGAAAAGATCGAAATTGCCTGAACCTATCGGAAACAAGGATATGTAATAATGATAATAATGTCAAACTCGACGGTTTTGACCGAAGTGGTGAAAAACGATAAAAAACCAACCCTCCAACCACCCTCACCCATACACAAACATTCCTCTCCTATCAAAAAAACATAAAGTATCTCCTTACCATCTAAAGTCGTTGTAGAAGTTGGTTATGTCTTTATAGGTACCGTGGAGATCGCTATCACTGGAGTCTTTATCGTGCTCGGCGTAGAGCTTAACACCGGGGAAGGGTGGGCATAAATTAAAATTGCGTTCATCCGGCCGCAAGGCAGGGGACCAGCCCTGCGTAATCCGCGTGACCATGTGGTGAAAAGGCTCACGGCCTTCCTCGAAATCGCGTATCTTTGCCTTGGTTTCGGGATCGATGTCATCCTCGTACTGAATCATCAACGACTCCAACTCCCCCATGGCGTTCGCGAAGTGCACCACCTGATCCCCATTATACGACATATTCCGGTAGGACTCATTGACGCTTTCTTTATGAAGCAGTGAAGGAAAGTAGGGCCGCTTCCACTCGAATTTCCCGACCTCCCCGACCTTCCGCGCGGGCGCGCCGCCCCAAATCTCGCCGTCGTTGATTTTGGTATCCGTGGTGACGACGCTGCCGGGGAGGATATGCACCATCACCCCGGTTACCACCCCCTTCAGGATCTTTGAATTATGCCCGATGCGGTTAAAACTCCCGATCGAGCAGCTATCCAAAAAGCAGTTCTGCTCGATGATGGTGTTCGGCATGATCCGGCAAACCCCATCCATCCCATCCCATTGCTGATACGGGTTAATCGCCTCATGGCGTTGGTAGGCTAACAAATCCGTCGGCGCATCGCTGACGATGCAGGTATTTTCTAAAATTTGAACCCCTTCCGCGATGTACACGCAGTTGGTATCCCCTTTAATCGTGACCCCTTCCATAATACAACTGCCCATCCCAACCACCACCTGCCCGATAATCGCGGCGGTCTGCCCGATGTACTCCGCCGAGGCCTCCACCGAGGCGTGGTAGTTGTTGGGGACCTTTTGGTAAAAATAAAGCTGCGCGCAAACGCGATTCATCGAAAAAGGCTCCAAATACGCATCGTAGAGCGCCTGCATGAGCCGGGAGCCCGGGGAGATGTCGCCGAAGTTCCCCCACGTCAGGTTCAGCATGGAGCCGTCGTAGTGCCCGTCCGGGCCGAACAGCATCAGCGCGAGGGGGTGTCGAGGGTCCTCGGGGTCGACGAAGACGCCTTCGCGGTCGTTCACGTTCGTCATGGTGGAGCCGCCCTGCATCATAAAACACTGCATGGGGAGGGACTTGAGGTAGCAGGACCAGCCCGGGCCCGCGTACTGGCCCTGCATGTGGCCCCACAGCACGTCCGGGTGGGCTTGGCCGATCGCCTCGGTGGCCATCCCCCGCCTGAGCGTCCGGCGAAGCATCGCGTGGGGGGAAGAGAACTCACAAAAGCACCGGAATTACCCCTCGCACGGGGAAAAAGGGGGGGGAGCCAACCGCGGTGTTTGCGATAACCGACACCGCCAGGATGGGATGATGGGGGAAACCACGCCGGGGTTGCGCCTACGGAGGTGGTCGGACACCGGTAGGGGATCGACTAAGGAGGGCTGCGATGGTGATTGCTCGAAAGGACTATAAATAAGATTAGGAGATATTCAGATGGCGGTGGAGAGCATGTTTGCGTTAAAAGACATTTTTAGGGTCGTATTGGGGAGGGGGTTTCAGGTATCGAGTCAGTCTATTGTTCATTTTAGCAGACAGCAACTGAGAGGATATAGTAGGCAATTGCTGAAATCAATTAATCGAAGATAGGAGTGCAAAAAGTTTTCTATAATCAACGAAATCATATTAAAACTAACAACCGTGCGTCAGTATCATTCAGATCGGACTTCTTGAGGTCGATCCGAATGAGAACACTATGTGGAAATCTGCTCGATCTGGTTCCTTTCCAGTTCGGCTGTGATTTCCGACAGATATGTGGAGATTTGGTCGAAATGTTGTTTGACGGGAATCACGATCGGCACGATCATGGCTGACATAAAGGCATTATAGCATCTAAATAAATCTCCAATATCTCCAAAAAAAGAAGGCGTTGAGCGCGTCTGGTAGGACCAGATAGGCCCGTTGAACCAGCGATTTTCTACCGAGTCAATAACAACTGGATCGGTAGATTTAGAGCCTTGTTTCCCCAGCTGCAGTGAAACAGAGGAGGGCAACTGGCCCAAGGAAAAGCACCACGATGTTAGAGGGATTCGTCCTTCCATGTCAAATTCCAGCCTAAAATGAAGAAACGTCACATCGTCCTGAACCTCCCTTCTCAACTCCACGAGATAAGGGGTGATTTTGTGAACGCAATGTTGAATGATGTAGATCCCACACTGTAATTCATTAAGTCCGTTGTAAAGGGCCAACGTATCGTGCGTGCGAATATGCGGCGAGAGATCGTGCATGGGGTGTGGAGCGGCTTCCTCCATCAGGTGTAGCCAAGCGGAAAGACAACGATTTTCTTCTTTGGAGAGCACCGGCGTGCGAAATGTCGGATCCCAAAACCGCCAATAAGTCTGACGGCGTCGTAAAACGGGCGTGCTAAACTCCCAATGCGCCTCAAAGAAGCGATCACGGCCACATCGGGAGTACAGAAACGGGACAGCCAGTAATACCGCGTGAAATCCGACAACAAATGAGAAAAAGCGCCGGAACTGCTTGGTAAGAAGTTTTTTGGAGTCCATTCCCACGCTTTTCACTTTCTATTCTTCAGGATTTGAAAGAAAAAAAATGTGAAAGTGAAGTTTTATTCATTCTGCCTACTTTGCGGGGTCTACATATCCTGATGCTTAGCAACATGATAATGATTACACATTCATTCCTCATGCGTTCCTTCCTCCCAGGGCTATCCACTTCTCGCCTCATGATTGATGCTATTCGAACTAGTCCACAAAGAATAGAGCGCATTTCGTTTATAGGTTCTTTAGTTTCCACTTAGACTTTCTTGTGGATTGTTATTTTTTAGTTATATCTTCAACAAGCAAATTTTACACGAATTTTTCCACACCAAAACCATTCAGATGTTAATAATCCTTCCTTTCCTCGAGGCCAGAATTGAACAAAGAATGAAATTAACCCTACCGGTTATTTCTTTCGAGATGCCCGCAACTTTCGCTTTTCGTTCATGTTATACTTGTGGTATGAGGATACGGTCTTCGGTTCCGTCATATCGCGCTTTTTATGCCGAATGGGAATGCCAAACTCTTCCAATTTGTCGCCCCCACCGGCAAAGTTCGCTTGCTTCTCCTTTATTTTGGCGCCCGAGGTGCCCTTGATGACCTGCGCGAGCTGATCCTCACGCAGAACGAGGGTTCGATTCGTCCCTCGCTTGCCGCCTTTGGGCTTGGGCAGGTTGTAAATGGTCCCCCGCGTACTAATGGATTTTTTAAAGTTGATAAAAAGCTGTTTTTTGCCATCCATCCCGACGACGTAGTTCACTCGGCGTAGGGTATCTCCAGAGCCGCAGGACGGGCAGAACTGCCGCGTGGTATCGCTCACGAGGGTAAAGCAGGCGGTACAGCGAAGGAGCCAAAGCCGAAGTTCGCGAATTCGCATCCCGCTCATCCCGACGATGGGGACGCCGAGGTGGAGGAGAGTGTTCTGCATTGCGTAATCCGAGGTCACGCAGGCGACGCCGCCGTCGAAAAACTGCATGGCCCGCTCCTTTTCGCCTCGAGGGCGATGGACGGGGTCGCCCATTTGAAATTCGTGGATATTCGCCGCGGTGATCCACTCCCCGCCGTCGCTGTCGTCATCCGAGGAGGACTCCGCGGTGGAGTCGTCCTCGTCCTCGTCGTCGTCGGTGACCTCCTCGCGAACGACGTCGATCTCGCCCGAGGGGGGATTCACCTCGGGGTGAAGGGGCTGAATGGCGGGGTGGAGGGCGTTCATCGCCCGCCCGCAGTCCAGGGCCAGCGCGCAGACGCGAATATCCGTCCGGGAGAGCGCGCCCAAATCCCCCGTCTTCGTCGCGCAGGCCACGACGGCGTGGATGGCGTCAGGGGTGGGGTCCAACACAACGATCGTCTCCGAAAGCCGCTGGAGGAGCTCGCGCGAGGTTCGATCCCGGATCTCCGCGATCACCTGCGCCGTCGTCACCAGGGCGTCCGAAATCGTAAGCAGGTTGTCCATGCCTTTGATGATCGCGTTCGCGTCCAACACCAGCAGGCCCTTCTCGAAGGCGGGAAGCCGGAGGGGGGAGGCGGTTTCGTGGGCGAGGTTGTGCAGCCGGCGCTCGGTCTCGTCAATGGCGTCGTCCGTCGCGTAGACGTGCTGCTGCGGGGCCCCAAAGTCCACCGTCTTTCCCTTGTCTTTGGACAGCAAAGAAGCCCACGACATGGGTCCACCGCTCTACCGCCTGTTGTTGGGGGTGTTCTTTTTATAGGGGGGGGAGCAGTGGTGTGGGAGATGTAACGTAGACTTGGCCGTCAGTGACCTCCACACCGAAGGTAGAAAAAAAGAAATAAAAAGATAAAAAAGATAAAAAAGAGGAAATAAAAAGATAGAAAAAGTAAAAAAAAAGCAAAATATTGTGAAAATGGAGTATTTTTAGTAGTACCATACACGCACAAAAAAAAAAGAGTAATGATGGAGGAATTACTCCACTCATAAACACCGTGGTGTCTTTCCCATACAGCAACCTCAATGCCTTTTCCTCAAGCTACAACAAACTCACTAAAGTGGTAATTCTTTCTGCTGAATAATGGAGGGGTAGGGGGGGTTAAGAAAAAACGAGGGCATTCGTATAAATATGGGTATACTTTCCGCCCCAATCCATCACCCACACGTTATCCCTTTGGTTCAATCCTCGGGATCGAACTGGCTCAAACTTAAAACCATCCGATTAACTTTCAGCCGCTTCTCGAAGGTAAACAAAATCCCAAGCTCGACCGGTGAGAGCGGACGAGGGGATCGCGATTGGACCAACCCTGGCGTGAGGACGAAAGGCCCGGAGCGAACGAGCGATATCGCACACCGCGCGCGCTGAAGTCGCCTCACCAATCGATAAGGAAAAAGCGGAGTGCTGACAAGAATTCGCTCCGAAATAAAGGCACTGGTGGGGTACATCGCCGACACCAAATCCTGCGCCTGAGGTGGGGACGCCCTCACCGCGCACACGCACGGGATGGGTGGGGTCGCCGAAAGCGACGTGAGATGGGCGGCGATGCCGTCTTGCAAAGTCCGCGAGATATCCTCCGCGGCGTTGCGAATGACCTCGGCCGGGGCCCCGCGCGGGAAGCGAAGGTCGTAAACCCCGTAATTCCCCAAAAACTCGTTATTCCAGTACCGAATCATGGCCACGTCGTTCGTGATGAGCCCAAGCCCGTTCATTCCGTCCAAAAACCCAATTGGGCGCAGGACGTTCAACCCAAAGGCGGCCTCGGGGCTGATTCCCGCGGTTGATTTTTGCACGACGCGATGGACAAAACTGCGCGGGTTGGTCTCCTCCGAGGAGATGGAAAGGCTTCGGTCGAGATATAAAAACTGATAATGACGGTGGCGGGCGCGTTTGAGCGCGGGCACCCAGGCCGCCTCAGGGGAGCCGCCGAAGGGCCGGAGCTGAATATCCATTCGCTGAAAAGTGGACCACTCGAACTGGCTTTCCAAGTCCCGAGGCCGGGTCACGAGGACGCCGTCGACCTTGAGTCGGCCCTGCTCCACCAGGCGCTGGGATTCCGCGAACGGGACCCCGCCGCGGTGGAATAACCAATGATAAAGCGAGGGCGCAAACGCGACGGTGTTCAACTGCGCGTTGGTGAAGCCCCGCCGATTTCGCCGCAGCACCTCCTCGCTCAGCCGCCGGTTGTGAAGGGTGCCGATGCGAAAAACACAGCCGCGCGAACGGCGCTCGAGGTATTGCCGGCGAACCTCCCGTCTCGGCCGGACGCTGACAATCCGCGAAAGCCCCTGGTTGAGCTTTTCAATCCCCAAGGAACTCATCTAAAACCAATCAGGGCGTTCTACTTCGGAAGGAAAGGAAAAATAGATAAAGAAAGAATATCAGAAATCAGAAGGTAGATTGGTAGAGTAAGGGATACATCCAACCTGCCATACACGGTGGGGATATCATCAAAAGCGCGAATGGGATGAGAGGAAGGATCAAAACAACTGGGAAGCGGGAAAGGAACGACAACAACGAAAAACTGTTAGGCATGGCTCACGGACCCAAATGGCCGAGTGCACAAACCTTCTTAAACGCATTATTATTTCCTATTATATATTTTAAACGAAGCTATCACATTTTTCCAATATTATTACTTTTCTCAAGTCGCTAAGCTTTCTAGCGGCAACTATGATGAAAAGAGGGTATCATCCAAACCAATATCGCACTGGATGCCGGTTCTTCAACTGCATGCATTATTCGATCGAATCAACTGGGCATGCTTCCGCAGCAATACGTTGATTAGCCGTAATCGCATGTTGTTGTTTCGCGCGCTGTTCATTCACGAAGCGAAGGGCCCTTCGAGGAAGTTGAATCCGTTCCGTTGTCTTTCCATTCTCGGGATTCGAAAAAAACAACTGGGTTTTAACAAGCCGATCGGCAATCAAGCTTTTCAGCCCTTGGGAAACCTGCTCCGCGGAGGCTGCGGTTGCAAGGCAGGAAAGCACATCCAAACTATACGGCTGAAGGTATTTTCCCTCGCCATTTTGCCATAACTCCTCGACCAGAGCGCGCAATTCCTCCTCCGTTCCTTCCCGCAGCGTCTTCAGCTTCATCACGGTCTCCAACTGGCTTAACTGGCTGACCATCTCAACATTCCGACGCTCATCTAGCCCCTGAATAGCGGCCAAATCCGCGGCGTGAATGAGATCATGCGCCGAACACCAACTCGAAAAGCGACACCATTTTAAAATCGGCTGCTGTGTTCCCGTCGCCGACGACACGGAGTGAAGAGTGGACTTAAATAACGCCAATGCGCCGGAAACGACGTCTTTGAATTGATCCCGCTCTTCGGATGTGAGGGGAATAATCTTCCCGGGAGTGTTTGTATCCTCGACGTCCGGGGTGGGAACCTCCACCGCGTCCGCCGATTCGCCCGCGGGATCCCGATTTGTCGAGTCGCTCGGCGGAGTCAGTAGGCGGCGGGCCTTCGAAATCAACTTGCAGTTGAGCTGGCATTGGATCGCGTAGGGAATCGCCCCACCGTCTGATCCCTCCGCCGTCCGCGTCGAGAAAAGAGTCGCCATCTCCTGCACGCACGCAACCATCCCGGGAAGATCCCGAGAAAGCTCGATTCGCCGCCGAAGATGTCCAACGGGGTCGATCGCGCCGAGTCGTTTGAGGATCCCGGACGGGGAAAGCAAAGCCGGCTCCATCCCCTCCATGGGGCGAAGATCCGCCGCCCAGTCCGCCGCCCCGACCCCCTGCTGCTCACAGCGAAGGATAAACTCATGCGCCGACGGCGTCATCGGCGTCTTGGCGTCGAACCCGTACAACGCGAGTAGCCTTTCGAGAAAAAATCCAGCCTCGGCCTTGTAGTCCCGCAGGAAGGCCTCATAAAGCCCATCGGGGCGGCAGCTCAGGGCCTGAAGGAGCCGCTGGACGCTCGCCGGGCGGCGCAGGCTATCGTCAGCGGCGCAGGCGCGGAGGTGGGCGGCGAGGGCCGCCGCGTCCGACAGCCCGCGATGGAGCGCCGTAAAGGCGGAGGGGGGCGGTGGCGACGC